TAGGAATTGAGCTCTTGAATATTAGAGACAGAGGGCTTTGGCAGCGAATACTGACCGTTATCTCCTTACCAGTTTTGAGGGTTACCTTATCCGGCCTTAGCCATTTTTGCCAGCCGAGCTCCTCGCGCATTTAGTTAGAACTGAGCCAACGCTTATTAGGCTTTCGCAGTGAGAATCTCCAGCATTACTTTACTTTGATTTAATTTACTTTACTTTGAAGTATCCATTTTACGTAACTTTGAAATCCCACAAAAAGCAGTGATCGATTTATAAGCCCAAGACGCCCATTACTAAGTTTAAATAAAAAGTTTTGTTTAAAAATTTTTAGGCCTCAGTTGTTATTTACACAGACGAGCCGATAAGTCTCCTGCCGGTCCCAGCAAGGAGCCTGCAAGCCTCGGTAGACTAAAGTTAAAACCCTGTTACACTGTATGATGTTGTATATTCGTTTTCCCAATTATATAATAATCTTTGGAATGCATGATTTCAGAATTTTTTTACGTTAGCACAAACCGTTTTCCATTCTTAATGATATTTTACACAATGCTTTCAGATCGTGTGTGAAACAATGTATTTATAAATGAAAAAAACGATATTTCGCTCAAGAAAGCTTAGTTGTAGAAAGCTGTATTGTGCGTCAATACAGCTTTGAAATTTTTAGGGTAATTTTTGTAGATGAAGGGAAAGCAATCATTTGCATTCGATAGTGGTATAAAGTTATAAGACACTTTGAAGTTTCCAAAGAATTACCAAGAACAAATTAATTAATCAAATCCAAAAATATTCCTGGGCCTCTGTTATTCTGAGTGATAGCAATAAATTCTAAAGTATGTACGGGTGTGGAACGTTACTTTTGCGCGAAGTTGAAATTCAAAGTGACCTTCAATTTAAATGAATTTCCTTAGTTTTCGATGTATACGACTCCCCCACTCACGCACAGAGAGATTATTCTGAGATCCATTTGTTTTTTGGCTTAAGATTCAGAAAGAAGCAGAGGGTAAATTTGGACACATACTCAAGTTCCGAAATTTGACGCAATGTATGTCTATTAGAACTCTTCTAAAGGTACAAAATGTTCATTGGTAATAATTTTTTAAATGGCCTGGCGGTTTATTTAATAGCTATTAGCCTTGCGCCATTACAATTATAAGAATCGGAAGTAGTGGCCATTTCATTACGCAGCCATATAACAGGTGGCACTGTTACCTCCTATGAAGGGATGGACAGTTAAACTATGCTTTCTCCAGAATTCTAACTCGGGCCAATCGCTTTGGCAGTCTACACCATACTAAACACTATACTGGTTGGGCGGCTAATTGGCAATATGTCTCATGATACATTGACATCATGTCACTCTTTAATGTGAACATGTTTCATAACGCCCGTTTGAGCGCTATTTCTTGTTTACCGTCAACTGTCAGGGTGTTGCTGTAAGGTTTACATCACTGCAGTTTTACAAACACTAAATATCACTATGTTTATTATAATATAGGCAAAAAAAAAAAAAAAAAAAAGATTTATAATAAATTTTTTTATTTCTATTTCTTTTTTCATTTCTAAATTATTTGAAATATACTGTTTATTATACGCATTCTTATTTTAGTTCTTACTTTTAATTCTTTAATTTAGAATTCCACCTTTTCTTTTGAAGGCAGTTCCTCCACTTCTGTAATTGCATTTTAGAGTTCATCTGTTCCAGGCTTACTTGATTGTATCTCGAGACGTCATTGGCCATCAGGAATTATTATATATATTTATTCAGGAACTGATTTATTCATGATCCAAAGCATTTGTGAAACAAGGTTCCATTGTAGCTGTTTAACTTAAATATCTTTCTGCATAGTTTGTGTGTGAAAGAAACACTGAATAACGTCTCCATTTTACAGAAACCAGTTATTTTAAGTGAACAGATATAATATAAATCATATAGAAATAAAATCATTTTCCTCCTAAAATGGATATAGTTGTGGCTTTTTCAGATATCAGTTAAGTTTTGGATTGTACTTTGAATAAATTTTAATTTCGTTACATGTAGAAACACGATTTCTAGCAATAGAATTATGCATTAATTTCAAATATGGGGCTATCGAGTCTGTTCCAGATTACAGTCGATTTTCAAATTTCGTAGAAACCGGTGGATCTTCTTGGTAAGAGACAGTTCCATAAATATTTAAGATACATCAGGTTTCTTTAAAGACAGTTTTTCAGTTTACTATTAGTCTTCTAAAAGCCATTCTTTCTAAAGTTTTCTTTAATTAAACATTTTCCCCTATTAATTCATGATTAGCATTAGATAATGAAAATTTCAATTATCGAATTTTTGAAGGAAACCTAACTGGCTGTTCTATATAACCGAACTGGCTGTTCAATACAGAGGGTCTCATACTGAAGAAACCCCCTGTATTATTATATAGTATGGAATGAATTTTGAATGGAGCAAAAAGAAAATCATACTACAAATTTTGTAATTGATTTATTAAGTTGAAAAAATTAATTCTGAAACGACAATTACACAAGTTTTACCTGAAAACAGTGACAAATATTTCGGTTAAAATGACGAGAAACTAAACAAAATTACTAGAAACTAGAAAACAAAGCACAATTTTAAACCTTCCGGACGTCCATCTTTTTAAATTTTTAACAACTGCTATGGTAACACAAAAATACTTTTTAAGTTCTGCTTTGTGGCTGCGCAGATACTATCACAGCACAAATGCTAACGTGCATCGCAGCACGAAAACGTAAATTTTAAACAATCAGAATGGCGCCATGCAGTCAGGAAAAAGCATATTGTGCTTTCAGCGTTCAAAGACATTTTCGCACGAAGCTTTGTAGAGAACACCGCCTCATCAAAACATCGAACAGTGGGTGGAGCAATTTCAGGACAAGGGCTGCTTGTGGAAGAAAACTAGCCAGGACGAACAGCAGCCAAAACCAAGGAGATATATACTGGTAGACAGCTTATTGAACCTCCAACCGGTTCCAACATTAGTGTCACGTGACTGCTGGTCGAATTCCGAAAGTCCGGAACTACTTTACATTCATTTCTATGGGACGAAAGACGCCTGCTCTGCTTGGTCACATAAAATTTAAGAAAAAATTTTTATTCGCTGCAGCGCCTGTGTATATAAAGAAAGTTTTGTAAAAGGAGGACCTGTAACCATTCATAGCTAAGTTAAAACTGCATGATTTATTATTTTATTTCCAGTATTTTTGTCATTTTGTCATTTTACTATCTCTGTTGAATTGGTTGGAAAGTTTCACCATATTGTATAAGAAAATTGCCACTGTATATGACATTTTCAGTATGTATTAATAGAATCAAAATATATTAAATACTGTGACATTATTTATTGGAATCACCTTTGACAAATAATTGAATTTTATTTTCTTTTGTCATGCACTCCCTTGAAACAGAAAGCTGCGCCAATTATCGTTTCGGTTTCGTAAACAACTACTCCCTGCGATAAAAAAAAAAAAAAAAAAAAAAAAAAAAAAAAAAAAAAGAGAGATAGGGAAAAAAAAAGAAAATGCTATTATTATTAAATCATTGGGATAAGATTGTGCGATATGTTTACTTTGTTAAAAAAAAAAAAAAAGCTAATTCAAAATCTATAAATGAGCTGAAAATTTGTATACTAGTGTATCTTAGCTAATAATGCATGAATAAATCCTAAAATTTTTTAATTTAAGCTAATGCATAAAATGCTCTGGTAAAGCAGGAATAAAGTGGCAGTGAATTCGAATTTATCAAACATTATAAGGAATAAAATGGTATTAACTCGTAATGTCAATAGATTGCCTATACGTAAAAGTACCAGTATTTATAACTTAATCACCTCAATATTTGATTGCAGAGTTTTTCCTCTCATAGTAATATTTGTTTAATTTAAGATTTTTTAAAAACCTTTTCCATTAAAACTATTTTTTAGCAACATATGTTATATGAAGTCATTGGCCAAAACCAAAGTTGTTGAAAAAAATTGCAAAAGATTTTTAAAGAGTCCCACAAAATCCGCGCGTCGTGCGATGTGCCTCATACGGCTATACACCTTTCAAATGGTACTGGCATTAAAACCTTCCGAAGAACCATTGCGAAAACTTTTTGTGATCATTTGCGAAATGGGTTGAAGGTAGTAGATGGTTTAGCGAACAGACTTGTCTTTACGGATGAAGTCATATTTGATGTTTCAAGCAAAATTAATCGCCATTGTATACGATTTTGCGGTACGGAAAATCCATATGGTGTAACAGAGCACCAACATGATTCTCCAAAGATGAACGTTTTCTGTGTTTTTTCTACAGTTGTGCTTTTGGTACTTTTTTCCCTTGAAAATTTGCATTAATGGGTGCATTTACCAACATATGCTATCAGAGTGTTTGTTCTCGTAGTAAGAGGCAGAGGATGCTCCACCACATTGGTATAAAATCTTATGCCAGTATCTGAATGCTTGTCTACCCCATCGTTGAATTGGCCGTGCCGTGACCTTCTCCCTGTCGAAGGTCATGGCCGTGCTAGATCAAATGATATACCATTACTTTGTTGCCCACCGAGTTTCCCAGAAGTAAGTTCTTGTGAATTTTCCTGTGTGGTTTTGTTAAAAGTAAAGTGTTTCTGTCTCCATTTCTACCGTACTTAACAACAACTGAAGCAGCGGATAACTGAAATACGCAAATTAACAACGGATGTTCTATCACGAATGTGGAGAACTTGAATACTGCACTAATACTTGCCATGTCACCGGAGGAGCACGCATAGAATATCTTTAGAAACTTGGATAACTGTAGTTTGACCATAAATTTGATATATCAAAGTAAAGTAATTACAGCATTCACAGGTGCGCTTTCTTTTTGTCTCTTTGAAAATGGAGCCCCCTATATTTTCTTTAAATTCAGAGATATCCCTGAAAATTTTAAAGTTTTGTTTAGTAACTGCAAAGGAAAATATTGGAAATGACGTTACTAGACTTTTCCAAGCTTTCAGTGTGATCACTACTTAACTGCAACTGCTGTGACTCCATATTTAAATTTGTTGACGCGGAGTGTGTTGTGGTTTCAATTTAGAATTGCGTTTTGTTATTGACGTAACTGTTTCAGTTTTGCTGTAATAATTTTATCGCATAAAAATGGTAAGTTTAGGAAAGGAGTACTTTTGCGCATACTTTTTTTCATTAATAATGTTTTTCATAAAAAAAGTGAATTACTTTGTTTATATTTCACTTTTTGAAATTAATTATTTCATTTGAATTTTTAGCTACCGTTGTCGTTATTGAGGACTGCACAGAATCATCCCATGGTAAGGAATTTAACTTGATATTTCTGAAATTAATATTTTGCTTTGAAATTGTAAAATTGTGCATAGGAAAAGTTTAATACACGGTCAGTTATACTCGAAGTTATGATAAAATTTGTACTTTTCTTCCTGTATTTTTTAGCTTTTAAATCATTTTTTTAATAGGTCTCTTTCTGACTGAGTAAAAATTTGCAGTGAATGATTATTTGAATGAATGAACTAAACTGTTTCATTGGTAAATGTTGGATATGGTAAAAGTTTACAATTGGGTGCCCCTTGTGTTTTTGCGATTCTTTTTTGACGCCAAGATTGGTGCCAGGAAGGCACAATTTCAAGGTGGCCTCTATAAAAAACTAAAATAAGAAGTCAGAATTGCAAAAACTGTGTGCCCATGTACACATCGATCTGTTTTCACTTAAAAAACATCCCAGAATTGCACAAACTAGGTATTGCGCAATGCCTTAAATTTGTCCATGTACACATCAATTTATTATCATTTAAAGAAAATCAAAAAGCTAAAACAAAGTTAAAACTATCATGGTAACCAGAAATGAGGTCTCATCGTCAAAATTAAAAAAACAGTTGTCGCTAATCGAAGGGGCACCCAATTCTACACTAGAGCAGTTGGATATTAAATGCTGTTGCTTAAATATGATTATTTCAGCGTGTTAATTAACTATTTAAATCTGCAGAATTATTAATTTAATGTAAATTATATTGTATAATTCTAATTTTGACTTTAAAACTCATTGTGAAGCCGTGTTTTCCACAGACAAATGTTTTTTTTTTTTTTTTTGTTTGGATCATAAATTCTAACTTTTATGCAGATTTGTCTAGTTCTTTAGATGAGAAATTGATGGAATGAGAATATTATCTTATTTACTGTGACAGAGGTAATTGAGGGTAAAACTAAGTATTTTGTAATTTAATATTTGTTTAGTACTTTTGGTTTTCCATGCCCTCCAGGTTCAGCATTCCAGTAAATTTCTGTTTTTAGTGAGTTTTTGCATATATGCATGATATTAATTAACTTAAGCATGAGTTTGAATGTATGTGAATTTGTGCACATTTTGTTTAACCACCATTTTCATGTTGTTCACCCACTGCAAAAGTGTAAATATTGGCTCTAAGTTTCTTTTAATCTTAAAAGTCTTTCTGATTAGCCACCTAACCCTACAAAAAAATTACCATTATTTGTCAATTAAATTTTGACCCACAAAATATAACAACCATTTTTAAAAGTAATGCTGCATTAAATATTAAGTAAGCAACAACCAATTAGTAAAATTAAAAATGCAAGAAATGCTTATAAAAAAACACCTTTTCACCGTCTTCTTCCTATGTACACAATGATTTGTTTTAGCTTAAACGTGCAAAAACTTGACATCCTGCACAGCTTGGTACTGCTCACACTCTGGTTTCCTGATATGCACAGCAATCTGTTTTGCCTTTTTAAGAAACATGCACAGATTGCAGCATTGGAGCACAAATTTGATCGTTTGTGAAGTATAACTTCATGGCATTCAAATTTTTGCATTCTCTACAATTAGAAAAAATGTCATATTTTTGAAGAAATGTAATGTTTTCTTGGTTGATCTTTACTGTACGGTACCTAGCGTTGCCAGCTCTTGGCTGTAAAAATCCAGGAGAGGAAAAAGAGTTTCCTGGAGAAGGGAAAAAAAAAGTTTTATTTCAGTCGCTACTGAAAAATACTCCGCCTCCTTAATCTCGTTTAAAAGCATTTTTTGAGCTGCAGGAGCAAACACACTCTCGCAGATACTTGTATATTTTGTTCTACCACAAGAAATGGTTTTTGCCAAAGAAAAATCTGGAAATAGAGTACTATACAATTTGTGAAATCCTGACTATTAAAAGTGGGATGGTGCTTAATCCTATGATAGACTGAAGTAATTTCAATTGCTGATATATTGTCTTGTTCGTCTGAAGATTTCTTCACGAAAAAAGTTCGAAACCGATTGTGATGAATTCCTATTCAATATTAGTAACTGGTGTTTCTTGCTTTGGGAATTTATATTTAAAGCTCTAACATCCTCATACTTAATATTAGGCATTTTCCGACATACTTTACGTTCTCCATTAATGTTGTCTCTCTTCATAAGCTTATCAAATTGAGTTAACCACTTTTCTTGAAACGACGTTGAATGTTTTGTCTTTTTTGTGGCACTTGTTCACTTGCAGAATCAGAATCGTTTTTTTTTCACTAGACATTATTATGAAACCATTTAAATAATTTTAAAATATGAACTTGTTTGTGGATAGCTAGCTAATTGCAGACTAAATAAAAAAATGAATTGAAAATGAGAGGGTGAGGGGGAAATAAGGGCACGTGCGGCGATATGCCGGCATGAAACCACTACTCATCCCGTAAGGTGCTTACTCACCGTAGATCGCTGCTGCAAAGAATATGTATTGACATAGATGTTCTTTGGTTGCTGTGTGCGGTCGTGTGATTTTCAGTTCTCTCAACCATTTTGTCCGTGCATATTGTGTCATTATTTTTGAGAAAATTGATATTCCGGGAGAGTAATATTTATTTTAAATTCCTTCCAGGAGCCGGGAGATTTTAATTTCCACGATCAATTCTGGGAGAGGTGGGACCGTAATGGAACCCCTTGGTTTCTGTCTGAAAAAAATCGCAAAGTGGTATTGGTTGTTTGTGAAATGTGGAAGCCCGCTGCACGAAACCGGTTTTTCGGTAAACCCTAATGTTGTCAAAACTAGCCTTTGGGAAATTTTTTTTTTTTTTTTTTTTTCCTTTTTAGTTTTTGTCATTAACGAGCCCGCCCCTCAGAACAAAATGCTTTGAAAATGGCCATGTTGTCAGTTAACAAACCCCTTCAAAAAATCGCTTTCGCTTTCTGAAATCTCTCTAAGATGGCCCAGCCTAGAGCAGTATGTTTGCTTCCTCAAAAGGCCCGTCTACACGAAGCGATTTTCTCGGCTGACTTTCTCGTAGAGCAACAATTTTAAGGATCTGCGCATGTGCCAAAAATCGGTCATGTTCTCTGCCGCGATTTCAGAACTGGTGTTCACTGCTCACTAGCATACGATAAAATCAGAGTCTCTAGCCAATAAGATTGCTTTGAGTGATCATGTGCTTTTCTCCTCATTTGGAATAATAAACATGGCTGTGTTTCGTTGGACCAAAACTCAACTAATAGATTTGTATAGAGAAAATGATGTGTTGTGGGACACAAGTAATGTAAATTTTAAAAATAAAAAAATTAAGGGATTCTCTTATTTTGATAAGATTTGTCTTCCCCGTAACTTTATATATTCAAATATTTTCTAATTCCGGATGAAAATGATTTTAACTTCCCCAAGAAACTATTAATGATGCCATGTCATGGGTACTAGATGAAAATATTCAGAAACTGCTTGAAACTGTGGTCGCACTTATTGAAAAAAATTCAAAAAGCAAAATCTCCAGTCGAGAATAAAGCAGCGCAGACTCAATTGACTTCACCGAAAATGGGAGTTAATCAGGTGACGAAGTACATAGCTTTTCCGATAGCTCCTAGAGGAGCGATCATAGCCTAGTGGTAAAAAGCAAACTAGGTTTTCTCCGTACATCGAGATCGTGGGTTTGATCTCCCACCTTAATTTTGGACTTTCTGCGCCTTGAAGAACTTTTTAATTTAGTTTCTCCATCACTAAATTCGAACTGCATGACTTAAAAGTCGCGTTTTATTTTTTCGCTTACGGGTGGGGTGTTTATTGAATTTTAACGATCTTTTTTTTTATTTTTCGAATGGCCGTTGGCATGTGTTTTAGATATACTGGTCAAAAAAAGTCAAAAGTCACAAACTCAGTTTTGTGTTAATTGAATTTTGCGAAAGCAAATTACAGCCCAATTTAATTCAATATTGTTAAATTTTATTCGCTGATTAACTGATAGCGTCATATAATCATAGTTTTCAGACTGTATTAGTTATTTAATTATGCTGATGTTAGTTTTTTAATGTTCAATAAATATACTACTTAAGACTTTGCACCTTTAAGATGTTTCTTATTAAATTTTTGCACTGAAATTACACTGATGCTTTGTAAAGTAGTAATCTTTATTCTTTATTAATACTTTTTACCCATATTGGTTTGATATTCATGATATTATTGTCTGTTTATTCATTAATAAAGGTTTCGATCTAAAGCACAGTAGTTACTTATTTTTTCTGAAACATGGTTATTTTATTATTTCGAGATTTAAATGCGCAAATGGGAGAGTCAGAAAGTGAAATTTAAAAATAAATAAACAAACTAAAAAATGAGTAATATGTGTACTCAGTACACAAAAGAAAAGCATTTTTTAAAATTTTTATTTTCCTGAAAACTAAATTTAGCAAAAAATCAAAATCACGCGGTATCATCCGTAAATACTTTCCGAATTGTACTGTGTCTTCAATACACAACTCCCGGAGCAGGGAATTACGAAGGCACTATGAATTTCTAGTCGTTTGACCCAATTCCTGGTCCAAACGCATTGTTTCCCCTTCTGTAGCGTTAGCTAAGTTCAAAATTGTATCTGTATCTATAGTAGCAATTTAAAATAGTCATCCATTATTTCGACTATTTGACAACACCGTAAGCTTTGTTTACAAATCATAGACAGTGTGATGCTGTAGAGGGTGGGAACATTTCCTTTCATAGTGATTGGCTGAGTGAATTCTTGTACTAATGAAAAAATCGTTCCGTGTGGACAGGCGAGCTATCTCAGATATTGTCGGCCGAGAAAATCGCTACGTGTAGACGGGCCTTTAGTGTGATGGATAAGCCATAAAATTGCCTCCCCACTATTGAATGGCAAGAAGTACTTGTCACGTTAGTTTCGTCTCCCTCTTCTTTCTTTGTACTTGTAGCTTGTAGACTTGTTTCTTTTAATATGTGATGTCCGAATTTTCCGAAATCTTTTTAGAATTCTAGCTTCTAACCTTGTAAATTTTCAATTATTCGACATGTTTTATTGGACAGTATTTTAAGAAATA